CGCTGTTCTGATTGGCTGCCCTGTGTTGTCTCATTTAAAAAGCAATTTAGGCTGATACACTCTTTATAAGTTCAGTGTGAATGGGCGGGGCTAACATGCTGTACTCATTGTAATGCCACATTTTGTTTTAACTCAAATAAATTAAGTCTGTTGTATATAAAACTGAATATTACTCAACTATTATTCAGTTTGGAGAACACACAGATCTGCACAGTGGTCAACTTTTCAACTTTTTGGATGATTTCGTACAATCAAATAGCTTTTTTGAGTTTAATCAACTTGCAAATTTAGTTCAGTCTGTTGCCATTGGCAACTTTGAAACCGCCACATTCAAAAAATTAAACTGTGCTTCTGTTGGTTTTAATCATGTCTCTTAATATTACTCAACAAATGTGTGTAACTGAGCGAAACTAAGTAAAGTGTGTTGTGTCAGTGAAATACAGTGACATTTGTTTCGATAACACAGACTTGTTGGGTAAAACTTTATCTGTTTGCATAATGGGTGTTTCTTTCCTCTTGTTTTACTCATCATCAGCATGTTTTCATTCCGCATAGGCCACCTTCCCTTGGGTGTATACTTTTCATATGTGTTTCACTCGGCCGCCTGACCTCATGTTGTTGACTAAAAGGGCAAATTGTCATTCTCCCTGCTTCTGAGTGTGAGTCTGTGCTGGTGGGTGACTCTATTCACACTAAGGATTTATCCATAGGTGTTTGGCAAAATGGTCAATATAACCTAATCAGAAGTAGTAACGCACTTAGCTATTAAAATATGTAATCATAAAGGTAAATTAAAACAATAATAATGTATGAATTGCAGAAATGTGTGTTTATGTTAATCTTACAAAAAAATTTAGTTATTCTAACATGGAAGTACATTGAACTTAAACTTGCTGGTTTGTTGACCAATACTTAACTATGTTAACAAGCCACGGGTTTTGTAAACTTACCTCGGGTTACAGTGCACATGGATATATGTAAATGTGTTGGTTTTTGTGACATCAAAAGAAGAGTTAATTCAAAAAAATGTTTTTTCTTTGATGTGGGGTCTTTAAAAAAAGCAATAAAACTTGAAACCCTGCCCTTGCAGACCTTCTTCCTCCACTAGTTGTGGATTGTTCATGCTTCTCTAGGCCTATTCGGATAATTGTCAGTATTATTCTTTGCTCAAACATCCACTGTCATCCTTTTTTGCTGATACGGCAGACTTTTTTGCCAAAACAGCAAGAACACGTCTTTAAGCTGTTCCCTGGAAAGATTGCATAACAAGTTGCTTACAATGAACACAAGCACCATTGCTTGATGTCATTGTGTGAGATTTAGTCCAGGCCTGCTATATCATGTAGTTGAGAAAGCATGACTTGGTCGTGGAACTGAATTACACATGCTAAATCTGAACAATAATCAATCATTGTTTCTTTTCTTCAGCTGCATCTTAGTCTAACTTTTCTAACAATGGCATCTTCATAGCTTCCTATAGGGGTTTAAATCATCATGTAAATCAACTTAACTTAATTTAACTAGCTTAAACGTCCTAAAGCCGTCAATTTCTGGAGGCAAAAGAAGCACAAAAACAGTTGTACAATGCCAAGCACCACTAGTGAATATGGCTTCAGGAGAAAAAACAAGAAACTTTTGGCTGGAGCAACAAACGTTGTTGGCTTATGGCAGAGCGCCATCTAGTGGCCACATTTCTCACGAGCTTGTAGATTATAACAGGAGACTTTAAATTGATTATTTGAATATATTCTTGAACAGCCACATAATAATAATAATAATAATAATAATAATACTTAAAAAATAAAACTCAAAACACACTTTCACTTTAGCTCTAAATTAGTGTTGCTGTTAGTTCATGCTTGTTATTTCTTTTTGCTTTATTTGCACATTTTTGTGAACAACTTTGGGCTGCATTTCTATGTATGCATTGTGAAAAATGCGTTATGACTTAAACATACCCAGTTGCATAAAACACAGTAAGTTGATTTTTCTTTAAGATTACCCATAGGTATTTCTTAAGATTGAGTGTGTTGCACAGTGAAAAGCCTTAAGTGGTACTTAGTGGTAATTTTCTGAAATTGCTGTATACCATTACATTACTGTAATCATTATCTACTGTAGTTAATCCTGTAAGCATTGCACAGAGTTGCTTAACTCTAAGTGAAAACTTAAAAGGCCATTCCAGGTGTTCAGTTTGGCCTACTTATCCGGCCCCACCGCATACACACATAACATTAGTATAGTAACTTTTTCTAAAGTTTTATTGTTTTAAACATGAATTCAAGCTTTTTTAAAAAAAAAATAATACAATTTTTATTTGAGTGTTTTAGGGAAAACATACATAAAATGACAATCCATAAACACAACCCCTTTTACCCTTCACCAAGCCCCTCCCATCCCATCCAACCATACTTTCATAAAACCTTCAATTCCTTTAAACCATATCCTCATCGTAGCTGGATTTGCTCTGTTAACCTTAGCTGAAGATCATTCTAAATAAAGGGTCTCTATAATGGACTGCAACCAGTGTGTAACTGTAAGAGAGTGAGGTGGAAGTCAGCACTGAACAATAATTGTTTGTTTGTTGTCTGTCAGGCCTGCCAACCATAGTTTGTGTACTCTCTTTACAATAGGAAAAGTGGAGTTTTTTATTGTACAGATACATATAGAACATAAAGAACTTACAGAATTCTACAAATATACCATCAATGTCAGAGTGGTCATCAGAACATGAAAGCAATAAATTCAAACCTCAAATTCAAATCTCAGTGAGCTAAGATAGGAAAAGTGGAGTTGTCAAGCAAAAGATGCAGACTTAGGCTTATTGGGAAATCTGTGTTAGTTATTGAAGAGATCATTTCAATTACCTTATTCTAAAAAATTAGCAGTTCTAGACAACTCCAGAATGTATGCATGAATGTGTCTAATGTATTATTATTACAGAGTGTACAGTAGGGCTGGGAAGCAGGTTCCATCAGATATCTCTTCTGCTGAGTTATATAAATTCTACAACAAATTTTGAAATGTATGAACTGATGGCTTGGATTGTGATTCAGCTGCTTTGAGTGTATTAAACAGAATCCACTAAATGTTATTACTTACCCTCTGATAAGGTGATGTAGGCAAACGCAGCCTTTTCACTAGGCAAAGGTAGACAGCTGCTGAGGACCTCCATGAGCCTAGACCCCCATTAACATACAGATTAGATATACTGTATGTTTTGAAGTTAAATAACCTGTTCTGAAATGTATTTACATTTTAAAAATGGCTGTTATTTGCGATTGTTATGATTATTTCCAGTAATTTCGATGCAGCCTCACCCCCGTCATGGTTGTAATGGCCTATTCCATGGTGTTATGTAATGACACAACTGCGGAAAGACAAACTGGTATGAACAAGACAATTAAGCAATAATCTACATTATGGATGTTGAGAGAAAGTCATCTAAGGGCAGCAGAAAAAAATAGAGACAACAATAGAGAGGAAAGCAAAAGCTCACTTCCTTTTTTCAGTGAAAACAGAGTGCCGACAGGCTCAGCAGCCTGTACATAATGCTAGTGCTAATGGGCCTCATTCACCACCCATTTTTAAGAAGAAATTTCTTCTTAAAACCCACTCACACAGTTTTTGTGAAGATTCAGACATTCACCAATGTTTTCTTTTTTGGCGTTTGTTCTTAGGTAAGAACAGAATCTACACACAAAGGTGCAAACACTTCTGCAGGTTAAGAACACGTCATGAATCTGATGTAGACTTTTTCTTACGACCTTTCTCAAGAACACATTTAAGAAAAATTTTTGGAAGAAATTGATATTGAAGATGATGGCCCAGTGTTAGCATAGATAGCTCCAGTGTTACAATAATTACTCAAACCTGCAAACCACCCCAAGTTCCTTTTTTCAAAATGTAATGAGATTATGCTGCGTATTACTTTGTGGGAAAAGTAACCTCATTTCTTTACTTCTACATTACTCTGTACCAAATTATCTCCCTATATTGACAGATCATTTTGCTTGTTTCAAACATATTTCTTAAAACAAGCAATATGATCTGCCAACGTAGTGAGATCATTTCAGTTAACAAATTAATTAAGTAAAAATTTCTTGACTTAAGTTGAATAATCTTGTGATATTCTTACAACAATTTAAGAATGATAAATATTGATATATTGACTAGATTCAAGATAGCATTTTTTGGCAGTGTAGATGATTGTGCTACTCTGGAGGCCATTAATTTGAAAATGTGCATCCAGGGGGCCCCATTCCTGTATGTTGTCTAGAGCCCTAGAATCACTAAATCCACGCCTATCAAAATATCTTGCCTACAGTTTTTAAATATGCAACACAGTAAGACATCACAACAAGGTAGCTCAATTCTAAAACAAGTCTTTAATGTTATTTGTCATGTAATATTCTGTAGCGCAGCATTGCATCTGTCAGCCTCTTCGGGTGGACCTCAAGGGTACATCTTCAGTACCTTTGCTAAGGAAACATAATTGTAACATATTCCATTTGGGATATATATAAATACATTGCCTACAGTCTGCCCTCACGTGACCACCCCCGAAGGGCTTGTAGCGGAGAATGTGTAGTGAGAACCGCCACTCTGTAATATGTTCTGGGTTTGTCAGACGCTAGAGGGCGCTCACGAGCAAGTCCAAAATGAATGGGTTAATATGGAGCACTTGAGCAAAATGCCGTTTGTAAATGCCGAAACGTTTTTTATATATAGAAGAATTGATTAATTTCCTGATTACTGAACTGCATAAAATATTTCAACACAGCTGTTTATAGGACTTCATAATGGCGCCTCATGTACGTTCATGACGCCAGAGAACGTGAACTGCTTCACTCAACCAATGAACTGCTTCACCCGCCAATCAATCAGCACTGAGTAGCAGTACTGCAAGCCAATCAGCACTCAGAAGCAGTAATGTTAGCCAATCAGCACTGAGTAACAGTAACGTCAGCGTCCTACTGCCCAAAATCTGTTTACTAAAAAAAGAAAACAGAAAAAGGAAGTGAAACACATCCTTCTACTTTCTAAAGTTGAAGAAAGGTCCTGCAGACGTGGATAGAAACTATTTTAACTCTGGCGTTTTGCTGTCATGTTTTTGATATAACGACAGAAATAGGAAGTGGTCAGGCTCCGCTTAAACCGGTTCTGCTTGTAGTTTTTAAAAAGTTCCTCCAACTCTCAACATACATCATCACATGGGGCGTGTCTTTATACCGGAAAATCTCGCTCTAGACGTTACTGCGACGCAGCAGTAGTGGGCGGGTAGGTGTGTTGACAGGAATAGTTGAGTTTTCATTTTGGTCAGAGTGTCTCTTTGAGCTGTTTCATGACATTGACGTTTCTGTCGCATAATCTGCGTTTCTGGAACGCCGCTCGGGCTGCACTAACGCATCCAAGGAGTGACGTAAGGGTTGTGCCGGACGCGTGATGTAAACAGGAAAGCAAAGTGAGTATCAGCCAGTCTTTCATACAGTTAGACAGTCTTATATCAGTTAATAATGTTTTAAAGAAGGCTTTCTAACTTACTTTTGTGGTGTTATATTAATAGCTGTGTATTAGAGCGGTCCCCGGTGTAGGTTAGTCTGTCGGGCTCAGCTAGCTGATGTTAACGTTAATGCTAATCTCCTGTTATGAAGAGCTAACTACGAGTCGCGCTGACGTAGGTTACTGTTTTCACCTTTCACAGAATGGAAGACCGGCATAAAAAGATCCTTCAGCAGAACAGGACTAATCTGGTGATGAGTTTAGATCCTTCAGATGTCTACGATGGACTTTTGGCAAGGGGCATCTTCACTCAGGACATGATAGATGAGATAAAGGTGAGATGATGGAGCTCTCTAATGTGATGCAGGGAAATGGCACCTATTAGAGGAAACATCACTGGTTAACTTCTCTTATTTAAAGGGGAATTCCGCAAATTCTTTTACGATTTGTAGAAAACTTGCCTAGCGAGAATCGTTCACAGTGGTGATGATAGGAACTAGACATCTGGAGACTTGAAAGCCCCTTGAAGCTACATGACAGAAAGTTGTTAACCTACATGAAATGGTTTCAGATTTGTTGACTGATGCCTGAGACATTGTTTTACTATAGTTGTGAGATAAGCTTTTGGTCGAAATTACATTTTTTTAAAATCCATTCATAGTGGAGAGGTACATACAGGGCGTTGCAACATAAAAAAGTCCCCAAAGAAAACACTTTTACCAACATCAACGTTACGTATAAAAACTGTAGGTTCAGAAGTTATTTTTGTAAAAAATATTTAAAAAAACAGAAAATAATACTTAAAAAAAAAATTAAAATGTTAAAATTTGTGATTTAGACATCCTGACCCCTGGTTCCTAGCACCACTACTGTAGTAAAAATAAAATGGAAAAAAAAACAGTTTCTTTACAAAGTACCATTACACATCAAAACATTCTGAATGAATTTGTTTACATCTCAATGATATAATGATAGAGAAATTGTACAACATCAGTGGAATTTCTCTTTTATTTTCACAGAGATTCATCGCCAGCCACAAGTTTAGGTTGATCATGTGTAGTAAAGACATTTATGACATTTCCATTAGCGCTTTCATGATTTGGTACTAGTAAAATATTGAAAGAGCAATGGCCATGTACACATAGTTACTCAGTGCTTATATATTTTAAGTAGCTTTTGTTTTTTACCTTATTTCTCTGGCTGCTGAACATCCTTGAACTTCCCTTTGGGTTCTAAGCTGTGAAAAAAAAAATGCTTTGTGACTTTCTTAGAGCTCCGGAACCAGGCGGGCTCAAGCCAGACAGCTGGTGAAGGACCTGGAGACCAGAGGCAGTAGAGCTCTCCCAGCCTTTCTGGACTGTCTTCGTGAAACTGGCCAAGCCAGCCTTGCAGAGCTGCTAGAGAGTGGAGGTTCTGTTTCCATCCTTGTTTCACCCCCTGTGCAACCTATTGTAATCCCCCTCCCAGTCCGTGAGTGATTTTACAACATAATGTTCTCCACAGCATCTAATACTGCAAATCTGCCATGATTGAATCACCACAGACTTCTCTTCCTCATGATTACTGTCCCATAATTCAGCAGAGAATCCTGAAAACAATAAGAATGCCGAAAACCATGACAGAGCTGATGCTTCACCGAAGCTGGTACCACTGAAACCGACCACACTGCCTCTGGATGTACTTCCCAGCCCATGTAGGTATAAATAATGCAGGTAGTAGAGATTGGAAAAAAGAACTAATCTGATCTAATCTTGTAACAAATAGCACACAGTCACACTGTTAGGAAAAAGTGGTGTTGTGCCAGCTCTAATTAAAGGGCCCATATAACTGACAACTGAATTTCCCTTGCTATTGTGAAATAAAGGAGGATAATGTGGTAGGAAAACATGGATAAAGTTACAAAACCATTCGCTCACCAGTCCATACAGTTCATATAAAACAAAGCAAAACTAAAACAGTACATTTTAATTCACTATTTTTGTGATATTACGAAAACAACAAATTTACATGTATCTAGATACTCAGCAACCTCCAGCAGTTTAGCTCCGATTTTGAGAAGCCTGACATTGACCAAATGTTGTGTTTGTTATTCTTGCAAAGTTCTGCGTATGAATGTTGTCTCAGTCCAATACTCTGATTTAGAAATCTTTCTCGCAATTGTGTTTGAATTGCATTGTGGCCTTTTACATTTAGATTAGATTAAATTTTGGAATGTTTATTTTTTTAACTACATTTTGTAGATTTTGGTATTTTTGACTGAGCAGATTACCTGGTATTTCCACAGCTCCTGACAGAGAAAGACCCAGGCCACCTAGGCAGAGGCGTGATAGTGTACAGGTAACAACAGACTAGTGCACAGCCGCTAGTTTTATAAGCCTTTTTTCTGCCCATTAAAGGTTTGTTTGTTATAAATGTACAACACTGTGCAAATGTCAGAGGCCACCCTTTTGTTTATCTAATTTCCGGTCAAAATGGCCATTAAATACAAGCCATTAATTTTTCAGTGTCAGATAAAAAAACAGAAAATGTAGTTAATAGTAAATGTTGTATAATATAGAGTAAGATTGATATCATATTTTTCAGTGTTTAGTGTGATCAACCTTAAATCTTATAATTACCCTCAGTCTCAAACAAGCTTAACGATTGTAAAACAAGTTGCAGCTGTGTCCTCCCAACAGAAGCTGCTCCCAAAGCTTTAGAAATGTTCCCTTCAAAGAGGCACTAACATTCACACAAACAACTACCCAAACACACCTTAGCTGCCTTGCAAATTTCTTCCTCATGTGCATCTAAAAGAGTTAAATGAGGTATTTTATAGAAGATTAGATATAAGGTAGTCCACATAAGGAAGGGAGGGAAATTCAAAAGTTCAAAAAATATTAAAAGATATTGAGAATTTGGAAGTCCTAATCAGGCAAGACTTGGTAGACCACCCAAACTGTCACTATCTGATAAACAGATTTCAACTTCGAGGGAGAGAAGGAAATCAAGCCTGTGGGTCTGAAAAGATTTGTAGCTGTCAAGAAGAAGCTGCTACAGATCCACAAAAGCACTGAAACTAGACATCTGAGATGTGAATAGTCTACAGTAAATAGTCAATAGTCATCTTGACTGGGAATGAAATAAATGAAAGGGTGGTATCTGACTTTTGCACTGCACTGTATACTGATTTTTGTTTTTATGTATACAGAGTTATAAGATGGATGCCAGTCCGTGCGGAATCTGTTTGATCATCAACAACGTGGAGTTTGAACCTGCCTCAAACCTGAATGAGCGTAAGGGGTCTGACGTTGATTGTGACAAGCTAGAAAAAAGATTCCAATCCCTCAATTTTCGCGTTATTGTTAAGAGGAACCTGAAATGCAAAGTAAGTGTGTGTGCGTAGTCAACATAACAAAGATAAAGTCAGTATGAGATGCTGATCTTGATATTTCCATCATGTTGTCATTATAATTTTGTAACAGGCCTCTGTTTTTCTCCCCGGTAGCAAATAAAACACGAGTTGTCTTCACTTGCTAAGATGGATCATTCGATGTACGACTGCTGCGTGGTGGTCATCCTGTCACATGGCACCGAGGTAAGGATGGTAAAATGCAGACGTGATAAAATGTTTTAATTTAAATCACAACTTTTGATTTTATTAACTCTTTTTATTGTGACTTTTCTATCTTTCTTTGTGTAAGACATTTTACTTTTTTCAGATTGTATCCATTATTATGAAGTTTATGTTTATTATGTATCTTTTTTGTTTAAAACCCAATTACATTTTTTTAACCCAAGATATTCTGTTGTTTCTTAAAAAGGCCTGAAAGTAATAAAATGTAATAAATATGAGGTGAAATGATAGCGCTAGGTGCCTAAAAAAATCCTTAATTGTCATAAAATTTATGCCATTTTGGAAATGACATTTCGTAATGAGACTCATAGGCTGTTATAAGATGCCTACACCTGATTATAGCAGGGTTTCTCAACCTGTGGGCTGTGAAGTGCCCTCTAGTGCTCCGCAGGCCTGCATTCAGGGGGAGACAGTAGTTCATATTGGGCTAGTAGAGATATATAGAGGTATAAATAAAAACACTGCAGTCTCAGGCTAATTAAACGTCATCAGTTTGAGACAATGCAGCCGCTGGTGCGCAGTGCAGACAGTTAGTCAGAGATGGAGAGGTTTCTCAGGGTGCTTTCTCCTACCTTGTCAAACTTTTTTCTTTAGTTTGCTCCATTTTGACATGTGTGAACACTCCACCCGTATTTGGATCTGCATCATACAGCTGAACCGGTCCTCATAACCCTGCGGGTCTCAGTCCGCTTCAACCCGAACCCTGTTCAGTTCGCTGCTGGGACACATTTTATGATGAAATGAGGGAATTTATCAACAGAGCTGACTTTCCTCTTGTTCCGCCAGCACGTCAGCACTCTACTGTCACTCTTTACAGATTATTACTCTCATATAGTTTATGTAGCTTGAGCTGCAGCTGATAAAAACAACGGAAGAGTCTTAAAATAATAGGGAAGATCTGTGTTTGTTTGATTTTTTGAGTAGTTAAACTTAAATTGATAAACTACTGACAAAAAAGCAGATATCAACTAAGGCTTATTATTATTGTGGATTGTGGTGACCACAGAGCTAAGTGTGGTTTATTTCAAATGAGGCGCTACAACCCTCAAACCTAAAGAGACATTTCCAGACCAGTTACTCCTGTGGAAAAGCCAGTGGAGTGTTTGTCAGTGAAAATGCGATGGACTGCACCTCCAAATCACAGTCCACCTCTACGTCTACCTTTTTTTTTTTCCCCTTTTTTGACATATCTGCAAAAATATGGTTTCTAAACATGTTATGTTTTTACATAACTGCAAATTGTGCTTTCTGTGATTGAACTGACATGGACGATCTTTTTCAGGACCTAATTCAGAGATTTTCAGCATGAGCAATAATAAAACAATTAAAAAAAAAAGTTGATTTTAGCTTGTCTGTGAGCCACTTTGCTTTATAGTCATAAACAGGTGGGCTTTGGGGTGGAAAAGTTTGAGAAACCCTGGATTATAGTACTAGTATAAACTCTGTTTTGTAAATATTTTAAATCATTTGGCTTAGTTTCATGTTATGCTACATGTGAATGCAGCTGAATGCATATTTGCTGTATAAAGTGCAACGGCTTTATCCGTCTGCATTTTCTTTTGCCCAGTTTCTTTCAGTTAAATATTGAAACCGGGTGTTATTTACTAAGTTTTTATTTAATGTACACAGCCGTGACATTAAGCATGAATAACGGTTTATGCTAGACTTGCTTGCATCATCTGCAGAATCATTCAAATGACTGATTTTGTTTTTTTTTTTTACCGCATACACTAAGAATTGTTTTTGAACCACCCAGGTCAAATAGTTTTTAGAAGAAATCTATGCATGAGATTTTTTTTCTGATGTATTTTCACCTTCCTGATTAAGCTCTGACTCACCACTATCGCTGTATTTGAATTTTGTGATTAGGCTGCATTCAGGCGGCATCTGAACCGTGAGAAATCTCCCGTAACAACTTCTGCAAAGTGGAGAAGGAAGAGAGCAGTTCTTTGTGGGTGATGTTATGAGTGGGAAGTCAAAACCACATCACACAACTCTCTAAATGGAAAAACTAAAGAAACCAGCATTTATTGCGCTTCTTTTTGGAGGAGAAAAACTCCAGCAGGTTTCATTTTTAATATCAAGGTACAGTAGTGAGAGGTACATCTATCTCTCAAGGTCTTTTATCAAATTGGTGATAGCAACATAGAGGTACATTTACCAGTGAATTAATGTTTATCTTTGAGCTCAGTGTTTTATAAATGACAAACACGAGCAAAGCTGTCCTACCATATGGCCCTACGTTCACTCTCCAGTTCAATTTGACCCGCCCTCTTGTTTGATTGGTCACCTTGTGAAAATGACACATGACGAAGAGGAGGATGAGTGTCATTATACTTTGTTACTTCCCACCCCTGATGGCATGTTAACGTCAGGCTGATTGTGAGTGCATATTGTGATCACATAAAGGCGCATTTTGTGCTGTGCTGTATATTATGCAAGGCCTTCAGTAAGGTTTTCTGGACTTGTGCTGATTACGATTTGCAGGATAAATCTCTTCACAATACACTGCTCCATGGAGCTTACATGTAACTGTACAACAGTTATTTCTAATGGAACTATGTGATTGGTTGAGAAGTGTTGTAGGTTCTTGCACAACAACTGTGTCATTCATGGAGCTCCACTTTGTTTGTAATGTTAATTGAGCTATACCTCAAGTCTGTCAAGTCTGACAGACTCAGCTTAAAATTGTTACTTAACCCCTCATAAGGTGATTTAGAATATCCAAATATCTTACTTATTCTTTTAATGCTAGTAACATTTTCTGATGCAGCAATTTAGTCTATCAAAATATCCTACCTGTAGTTTTATTGCTGGCAGCATTTTCTAAAACTGTCGAAATATCATGCCTAAAGTTTTATGTAGGAGCTACCTATAAGTATGCACTATATATTTCAATAAGGTAGCACGTTTAGTGAGAACACCGTAAAGCTGATTTTAAATAGGACATTTGTTGCCTACTTGACTTTCTCTCCTTGATTTCTCATGAAATAAACATCCAAAAATGGTCAAATCTGTATTTCCTCGCTTTTGAGAAGACCGCAAACAAACTAAAACCAAATATATATTTTTTAAGCGTCCGTCGTTAAATTTCGCAACATAATGATAAGTAGCAGATATGCAATGTCATCTATTACATCATGCAGAATTATTAGCCTTTTCTCTTTTTTTTGCTAGTTTACCCCAGAATATGTCATAGATGATGCTGAAAATGACAATATATACATATAACTGACAAATCAAACCATCGACACACATCATCACACTACTTTCTCGTTCCGAACGAACTTTATGCAAATAAGCCGAGTGGTGATCAGTCATTGTTGATCTGCAGCGAGGTAACAGATTATGTCGTGCCCAACGGTGAGATTCAGCACTGGAACGAGCGGGAGAAATAACGGGTGATAAAAGCTTCACGTTACTTTTTTCCAAGTTAAAAAAAAACAATATTAAGCTGCTGTGGGGCTCAAAACTGGGCTACAACTCTGCATAGACTTTCTCTTTTTGCACCTTAATTTGGGTGTGTTTTAGCGACATGCCTAAAGCAGCCAACAGCTGTCAGCTCTCTGTAATGAAAATACAGTGTTAACTTAAACGTTGCGCGGCTAGTGAAGATTTTAAAAATGTAGAAATAAAATATAAAAATACAAACACTGCTCTAAAACAAGCACACATGGGTCTTTATTACACTCAAATTATGCTAATGTGAAGAGCATCTGGGGGTACTGCTGCATCCTCAGCACCCCTACGTCCACATAGACTAGGGATTTTCCAAAGATTTATTTCCCCTAAAATCATAATCAATCACTTCCATTAACTAAGCTTTGTAGTAGGCTAAACGATGGCCACTTTCTTTTACCTTTAGCTTGTGCCTGCGACCAAATCACACCTGTAACGTTATACTCCATGTTTTGTTCTACATGTTAAATGTATTTTTGGCTAAAAGTCATTAGTGAATGTTGTAAATATAATTTTGCTTATATTTACATTTTTTATCCACTTATAATGCTCTTTTCATAAGCATCATAATGTGGTATTTTTCAGTCAGTTAAGAAAACCTTGCACATCTTTGTAACGCTGTATCATCTCTGATGTTCAGGCAAGCCACAACCGCTTCCCTGGAGCAGTGCACGGTGTGGATGGTCCCTCTGTCCCTGTTCAGATAATCACAAACTACCTGAATGGCCAGAACTGTTCATCTCTGCAGAGCAAGCCCAAACTCTTTTTCATACAAGCGTGTGGAGGAGGTGAGCACAGGAGCCATTAGTTCATCTTCACTGATGGCCTTGTTTTTCAGGGATTGTGTTTTAAATAGAAGCTGCTCATTTTCTTGTAGTGAGTAAACCACAGATTTGGGGCAAGAGAGTTTTTTCTGTTTTCATTCCTGCCTTCTTCCTATCTGTGATTGGTTTGTTCAAGCAGTTAACGTTCAGCAGAGATCAGACATCACTGAGCAGTTTGTAGTAACTATGTTTATATACAATGACGTTTGAAAAGTTAGAGCACATTTGTTAGTTATTTATTTTTTCAAAGTAAAAGTAACAGTTTTAGCTTATTAATATATTTGAATATATTTGCAATAGCTTCTTTTTTACTTTATTTTATTTGTTGCTTTTTAGATCTGCAAAAAATGTTTAGTACAAAATGTGTAGTGTCATGTACAGTCCTATGGGCAGGGCAGAGTCTTTGACATCAATAATAATAATAATGATAATTAGAGGTGCACGATCAGGTTGGAGATACTTGCTAAAAACAATGATCAGCATCAGTCAGGTGCTTAGATTTGACTGGTTTCAAACTGATATTTGGTGATGTATTCATTGTACTCTGGAAGAACAGAATGTTTAGGTGATGCTGGGTTATTGTGCTAAAATGTCTGCATTGTATTTATTTTACTGTATTTGTTACACTACAGAAAATTATTTATTGAGCACTTTTCATACATGCTCAAAGTGCTTTACAATCAAATTGTAAGGTTGAGAAATAAAACAGATCAGAAAATAAATAGAAAAATAGAATACATAAAATAAGAGAAATTCTCAGTGTCATGTTTTCTAATTTCTGCTTGTCCCTACTTAAGCTTAAATGACATACATTGACAGATCAGAGGGACATCGGTTTTGAGGTGTCTCCGGATGAGGTTCAGCCCACTCCAGGTGGAATTGATGATCAGACGGACGCCATCCCCTTGTCCTCCAGCAGTGACTCACTCAGCTTCTCTGATGAGATTGACGCCAGGGCCTCTCTTCCCACGCCCAGCGACATTCTAGTGTCTTACTCTACCTTTCCAGGTATGTGTGTGTACAGGTACATGCAAACGTTTGGGTATTCCTGGTCAAATTACAAGTGAAAACAGATTTACATGTCCTCTACGAAGAACACACTTCTGCACAGTTACTGTGTATTTGCTGAATTTAACATACTGGGAGAAAAATACAACAAAGGTGCAGTCCATGCAGAAGTTACGGCACATTTTATACATTGTTTTATTTTTTTTTTCAGTATGTTAATAGAAATTGTGCACTAAAATTTGTTCTCTATAAAACAGTGGATCTGAACCCAGTCCTCAGGCAGTCCATCAGCTTAACTTGTAAGGAAAAATGTGGGCCATCTGGGAGGCCCTGAGGCACCAAATGGGAATCACTGCAGTAGGATGCGTTAACTTGTTTTACTTAGAAAATCAACAAAACATGTAATTTGCCTGTGGGTGTTCAAACTTTTGCATACGAATGCATGTCGGCGGTAGCAAAAGCGTGTTATAGTACAATATGAATTATTTCTCACTCGTAGCACATTGAAACAGGTTGAGAAATTCTGTCGAAAGTGCAGATTCTGAACTTTCAATCTTCAAAATAAAAGTTTGAAGTGCAGACTTGAAGCTGTGTACAGAATGTAAATCAAAATAAATGTAATTCATTGTAACTCATTGTTTTCAAATATGTAATTGAGCAACAAGTAGGACTTTCTAAATGATAATTGAATTTTTTTATTAAAAAGGTTATGATATGCATGTGTGAATGTGCAAGAATCTATTAAATGTGTTTCATTTATTTCACAGCTTTAATAATGATAAATAGAATAGAACATGTCAGGTGGTGCAACCATACATTAAAAAATCTTCAAAATCTTTAAAAAATCTTTTAAAATATTTAAAAGTTATTTGCTACTGCTGAAAATGTTTATAAACTGGTCTTTGTACTTAAACACCCATATAAACCTTCGTCCTTAAGGTCAAATTTGTACATAAATTTTTTTCCAAATAAATAAAAGTTATTATAATAACACATGTTCATGGTTTTCCTGGGGTCACACCACTTGACTTATTACTGACTGAGCCAGTCTGATTCAAAAGGACCATTTTTTAATATTTATCAAAGGGCTATTGACCTTGTCATTGCATCAAGGTCACTTTGAGTCTTCTTAATGATGCAATAACCAGCCCATTCTTTCTAAAAAAGCATGTCAGAATAAAAGTCCTTTGTTGTCACTTGGCTGCATGACTTTGAAGAGATCAGAATTTATGGACAGAAGTTTTTTATTCAGCTGAATACTTTCAGAGCTCTCTGATTTTTTTTCAACATGTTATGATGTTAAAGGTTGCGAACATAAAATCATGCCAAAGTATTATATTTAGAACTTTATATGACTAAATTACCTTTTTAAATTGTTTACTTAATCTACATACATAGTTGGACGGTCACACCACCTGACATTTTTAGACTTTAGGAGGCAGAAATGCCTAAAATGAATTTTATTTTGATGTACTGAAAATATATTCACATAGAGAATGTGACACATTGTATATATTGTGTATTAAATTATTTCCTTATTAAGGAAAATAATGGATTTAAACACAGAAATGCATGCTATGTCATTGGCCCAGTTACATAACTACTTTTAAATAGTATAGCAAAATGGAAGTAATAACTCTTAACTTCAAAGGGTTAAGGACATTGTGTTTTTATGCAGTTAGGCAAAACAACATGCTCAGAGTCATTTTTTTCATGGCTTTCCATCAATTTGTTAAAATAACAACAATGACTTTGGTTAGTATTTGCCAACAGCACTGAACGAATTCTCTCCGCAGGATATGTGTCATGGAGGGACACATTTGCAGGCTCTTGGTATGTGGAGACACTGGATCGCGTACTGGAGGAGAATGCAGCCAGTGATGACCTCGTCACCATGTTAATGGTGGTATGTCTCTTTCTTTTACTTGACTCTTTCGTCTTTTGACTGCATGATCATAAATGTTATTCTACCATAAGCCTGATGGTGGTATTTGCTGTTCACTGAATGTTTTAGGGTCTAGTTGTAGTTCACACAAAGAAAATGCATAAACAAATGTATTAATATATAATATAATGGAAATTTGTCCTCAAAATAATTTCTTATGTTGGCATTCATTAATGTAAATTAACCAGCTTGATTTCTGGTAAAGCTAAACCTGAAATCATACTTCATGTTTCCATAAATAAAATAGAGTTTATGTTATTACTCATCCTTGGAAACATTCTTTCAGAATGTCTCAGCTCTAAGCACAAGCAGTGGGTCCTGAATTCATACCCAGGAATGTCGAATCTGCTTAATAATGGCCCAGAGGTACTTGTTTGTAAGGTTATTCTCAGGCCAGAACATAGTACTGTATAATTATATACCATAAAAAATAATTATTGCGCATACTTTATGTCTTAAAGTTTAGATATCCAACTTTTTGTCTGAAATTAAGGTCAGATACTGATGTTGGATGATTAGTTCTGGAGCTGTATTACAGAAACTTTTTATATTTTGTCCAAAGTTAAGATCTGACAAGGTCAAGATAAGATTTTTCACAAATGTGTATAACAAAAACAAATCTTAATTTAGGAATCTTATAACATCTTATCTCAAATTAGGAAATCCTAAACTACTTGATCTAGGTTGATAATCAATTGTTATGTTTCCAAGCGGAACAAGACAGCTGAAACAAAGACATGCAATCAAATTAGCATTAAAATGTCATTTATCACACCCTGGGAATGGTTGAGAACTTGTCTTCTGTGTCTGAGATTTTTGGATCTGCAGGCTTAGGGAAAAAACATCACTTTCACAAGGGAAACCACCAATAAATAATATTTCTCCTTAAATTTTCTTATAGAAAGTGTCCAGTTTTGTATACAGTTATATGCAAAAGTTTGAGCTATTGAGTTATTGAAGTGAAAATAAGCATGTTTTTGTGTATAATTACTCACGACCGTATCTTCCTACATATTATTTTGTGCAGGTGAACAACGAAGTCTCTCAGATATCTGCTAAAGGCCTTTACAAACAGATGCCTGGGTCTTTCAACTTTCTTCGGAAACTGCTCTACTTTCAAGCTTTCAAGACATGACGTACTGAAACCGACATGAGACAGACATGATTAACTGATTTCAGAACTGATAGAATTTTTATGCCTGATTAATTGATGAGAACACAATCAACATGCAGGACTGTGGATTAGTCTTCATTGTCTGTTTGATTGTCTCACAGCTTAAAGCCAGAATCACTTACCTCTGTACCAGGGGTTCCCAATCCCAGTGTGTTTTTTTCTCATATAGGACACCTGATTCAACTACCTATATGATAATCAATGTCTTTTGGGTTTGTCAAACACTAGAGGGCGCTCCTGAGCAAGTCCAAAATGAATAGTTCTTATAGAGCTTTTGTTTAAAGGTTTAAAAGTCAGTGTTTGTAAATGCCTAATCATGTTTTATATAGAAAAATGCTCTTTTTCTCAACACATACCAGCATAAAATATTTCAACACTGCTGTTATATTTTTGAGTTCTTTGAAGTTGTAGGACTTTATAACAGTGCCTCATGTACGTTCATGACATCAGTGAAAGCAAACTACTTCACTCAGGCAATGAACTTATCAGCTCACCAGCCAATCAGCACTCAGTAGCAGTAATGCTGATGTCATACAGAAAGACAGGCAAGTTTTCTGTCCTTCTACTGTCCAGAATTGAGGAAACAGTCCTGCACAGATGGTTAATAGCCATTTAGCTTAATTCAGCCACATTTCTTAAGGACTTGCTCATAGGCACCCTCTCACATTTTGCAGTCTTGTTTTTGATATTACGAGAAAAATAGGAAGTGGCCAGGCTCCCCTTACAGTGGCTCTGTAGTGGGCTGGTCAGGTGTGAAGAGTAGGGAAAGCAAAAGCTTGAGCTTGAGGTCACCAGGACTTGGATTGGGAACCCCTATTTCTGTACCTGAATTGTAGAGGACTATGAGAGCAGTAAAGACTGCTGTGGGACATCAGTATGTAGAAAATGTTGCTGGTTTGTTGGTGGGTTTTTTTTATCCTTTTGTTATTTTGATAATCAGTAGAAATAATATTTTGTAGCAGTTTTAAAACTTGAAAAAATAATGTAAATTATTGCTTAAAATGGTTAAATTCAAATTAAACTGACTCTGATTCAGAGAAAGTGTGAATTATTATTGCGTTTTGAGCTTTGTTTCTTGGGTGTTGAGGGGGTGGTTGATTTTTCACACTTACCAGCTCCTCATCAGTAGAAAAGCTGGCAGGGCCAATCCTTGGCATTTATGCTTAGCACAAAATGCCATAGCTAAAACAGTGTAACTCTCTATGCCTTTGCTGCAGTGCTGCAAGATGCATTTCTGGTTAATTCTGTCCTTATGATGGCATGATAACGTTTATTCCCAGAAACCGAGCGTCTCAGTGATGGCTCTGTGAGATAAACGGGGTCTGGTCATTTTCATTTGACATAGGCCTCGTTGTGGTTATGACAACACATACAGGTTTCAGGATTCTTATATGGAAAGAAATAAAGAGATTTTAAAAATGTGACCTAAGAACAAAGGGAGGGGTGCAACAGGAACTGTGCTTTAATGTAGTGTGTGAAATCACTGACTTGTGAGGGATTTCATGGAGTTGCTTTAGTCAGCAGTAATGTTAATACCTACGTACTGTTTTTATAGGTTGTAGCCGCAAGACACTCTAAACAGAATATGAAAATACTTCAGCATTTCTTCCCTGCTATTTCCTGTTTTTCTCACACAGTCATCTTAGCAGTTCGACACACATTCATTCTTTCTCTCTCTGTCTATCGTTAAACATTATCTATCTGTCTATCTATCTACCTATCTATCTATCTGTCTGTCTATCGTTTAAAGATTTGGAATTACCATTTTAAAAATCTTTGTAATTTTATATACTTGTATAGTGTAGATTTAAATTCATCACTTTAATCACATTTGGCACATCTAGTACATATGAATACTGTTATACTGTTATATCTATCTATCTATATATTGGTGTTGTTGGAAGAAAACCTCGTATCTCCAAAATGGTAACTTTACAGGAGACAGAAAAAACATACTTTTACTGTATGTTAGTGGAACCAGACTTTTTTCCAAGTCATTTTAGGCTGTTTATTTTGATCTATTCATCATGAAATTTACACACAATGCAAAGGGTAACAGGCATTTTCAGTTTATGTCAAAAATGGAGATACAAGGTTCTGTTCTGACAGCAGCGATATACATATAAAACATAACAGTATTCTATATGCATATATATATATATATATATATATATATGTGTGTGTGTGTATATATATATACACACATACATATATATATATATATATATATATATATATATATATACACACACATATATCATTTTTAATCCTTTAATAAAAGTAGTCTTACTGTAAACTGGTGCGATTTGTATATTGTCACTGTCAGGAAAAAGCTGTGTATCAATTAATATAAAGTTAATGTAGAGTTAATGTCTCTTTTTTTTGTTTAGAATAATATTGGACTAATAATATTAGAACTAATATTAGAACTAATATTATTCTAAACTAATAATATTAGTTTAGAATAATATTGGACTATTGCTACTGTCTATTCATCATAAAATTTTAATAGATTGTAAAGGACAGCTGGTGGTATCAAATTCTGTTAAAAAAAAAAGGTTTGTATATATGGATATACAGTACTTTCATATATGAATCTACCAAATTGGTTCAAAGTCAGAGTTCAAAACACATTTCAGGCTTTTAAACGACTTGGACATTAGACTAAAATCATTTTGCTCTGAGTGAATCTATAGCTTAATTATGTTTATTGTATTAAAACAAATGAATGAACGTTACTAATAAAACAACGATAATGCCTCTGAAACTTTACCAGGTGTATCGGAACATGTAAAGCCGGGGTTACACTACACGACTTTTAGCTACCCCAGTTTTAGCCCCGATTCTCAGTCTGGCCGAGTCTGTGCTAACTTAGCTAGCTCTAGTCTGCAGTTGGAGAGAGAATCGAGTAGTATTTGAGGGGCGCAGACTCAGATTTTTGGCCTCCCGATCGCGTTTCAGACCAGTCAGAGTTTATCAAACGTGTGATTTTTTCGACCCGACTTTGAGCATAATGTAGTAGTGTAAACTGGTCAAGGACTCAGTCTGAACGGATTCCTGCAACAGCCAATGAAACAGAGAGCGCGAAAGAAAGTAAATAAAGAAAATGTCGAACAGTCATTCACGTTTGGAGCGAAGCTTTTTAATGAGCTGAGCTTAAGGCACGAGCACAATCGAGTTTATGTACATTTAAAAGTCTACAAAATACCACATATTTAAATCAGTGACCCTCGCTTTAACATGTTTACCTGCTGTTTCTTTACTGCATCACCGCAAACCGCAGAGAAAACTGCAGCGAGCAGCTCCACGTTTGTTTATTTGGGTCTCCTAGTAACGGGAGAGCGCGAGAGTCCGCGCGAGCTCAGTAAGTTCGGTTCGGCAGCAGGTGAGCTAGTGTGATCCTCAATATTACAGTCGCCCTCAAAAATCTGCAAAAACCAGTCGCGTAGAGTGAGATGCCCAGTCTTTTTATAATCTGTTCAGACTTTAAAAGTCGTGTAGTGTACCCAAGGCTTAACAGGGGACAGGGATGCAGACTCACTTCCGGCTCTGAAATGCAGGGGCGTGGCTAAAATAAGGTTCCGCCTATAATTAAAACATGAAAACGTGGGAGAGCGTTTTTTCACAGGATAAAATTTGGGTATTAGGGTTTGGGCCATACACCCACAACAGCAGGTACTCTATCGATTATTTATATATATATATATGTGAATATGTGAAACGTTAAGTGGCATTCATATTGTCACCTTTTACTTTCAGGCACCGTTGGTTGTTTCTGTGGGCAAGTCTTCTGCTGAAGTTGCACTGAACTTACACTACATTCCTGGCAGTAACTGAAATTCTCCTCAGATGTCCACTGTTCACCACTGTTTCCACCCAGCATTGTCAGGGACTGCCGTTATGGCGTGCATCAGGTGAAGCCGAGCAACATTAAGGCTGATTTTAAGGGCGGGTGAGTTGGGTTTGGGGGGAGGTTGGTGGGGGGGGAGTGTAAAGTGTGCGGAGACACCACAAGCTGTGAGAGAGAGAGTGAGTGTGTGTGTGTGTCAGAATGAGTGGGCAGGCAAGCAGGGAGGGACTCAGAAAGTGAAGTTGTTCTGCCTTCTCACAGTCTGTGAGAGTTTATGTTACAGCGACAGTCGCGCTGTATCTGACGCTGTGTAAGTGTGTGTGTCGGAGAGAGAGAGCGAGAGGAGAATTTCACCGTGTTTGGTCTAGAGCTAGGACACATTAATGCGAGGCAGAAAGCACGTCTGGCTGCTGCTGTGAAGTGTTTGAAGGTTTAGGCAGTGAAGGCCAATGTGAGAGTCACTGAGGATCAGTCTTGGGTAAGTCAGCTTGTCCTTACGTTAAAAATGCCTTAATTATGTATGTATATGTATGTGGCGGTGCTTTAATGCGTACTGAGGGGTCTATGAAGATTACACCTGTTACTGTTCTGTAAATGGCAGGGGTCTACTCTGTGGCGGTGTCTCGATTCGATACATTTTACGATACTGCGAAAATGAGCTAAAATGCTAAAACAAAAAATAAGGCTAAAATGTGCCTTGTGTTAAGATAATATTTCCATTTTATTAGACCATTCACTATTATAAAGGTACAATATTTGAAACAAGCTGTTTTATATCTCTATGAAACGCCACAGCTAGTATGCTAATCATGATACAATGATATAATACGATATGACACATTGTGTGTGTAGGTGGGTATTTATTTATTTATTTATTTATTTATTTACTTACTTACTTATTTACTTACTTATTTTTTATTTTAATAGAAAAGAATGTAACAAGGACCATTTCTGTTGGTCCGTTCATCATGAAATGTTAACACTGCAAAGGGTAACCGGAGTTTAAAATTATGCCAAAAAAGGTTGAAAGCACTAAAAATGGAGATGCAAGATATAAATACAATACATATTGTGTGTATATATATATATATATATATATATATTAAGCATGTAACAATACACAGTAAAATGGGTCGGATTGTACTGTATCATTGTATCGTGACTGTCATGTTAGCTTGTAGTTATATACACAATACATTTATTTATAGTTTACAGTCTTTATGATTGGTTAGATTTTCATTGGTAATATGGATTCAATTTTCAAAGCATTATTTCATCTGAAGCATAGTCCTAGATTGTTGACTGGGGTGAACAATAAGACAATATTTATTGTTATTGATAAATTATGTCATATAGGTCACAATACTTTTGTGAGTATATTGTGGACATTGTCAGTACTTAAAGACCACCAAACAACTGCATGTTTTGTTACATAGAGAGCATAATTAGCCCAGTCTAAGTGGATTTAATGCAGTGCTGTATGTGAAACATAGAATAAGATCATTGAATTTGTAGTTTTTGATGGTACATTTTAAAATGTGGCACTACTGGTGCTTTTTTTTGCCTGTTCTGACTTCTCAAACCTCAAACTAAAGGTAATGATGTGTATCATATTGTCAACAGTGGACCATGAATCTTCTCCGGGAAGCAGTTACCCTCTTAATAGTAAAGTTGCGCATCAAAATCTTGCACCTTTAGATTATATTGTGGTACTTTAAACCTTGAAAAGGCTCTTCACACTTGTACAAGTCATTTTCCAAAAACTGCCTCTTCCAAACAACATCCTTTGAACGGCTCTTGAGAGAACCAAGTGTTGATGCCCCACAGAACCCTCATTTTCACTGTTATTTTTAGGCATGTGCTCACTTTCAAGTGTCAAAAAATATATCATAACACATCAAAATGAAACCAGTGAAGATGCTTGACTGATTGCTCGTGATGCAGAAAAAGGAAAAAAAGCTATGCAGAAGAAGTGGATCAGTGTCCTGCTCCCTTGCAATCTAGCATTTTGAACTTGATATGAATGAGTTAAACTTCGCCAGTGACCAGTTTTCTTGTTTCGTTTGAGGGCAAAAGAGGAAGTTGATTCTTTGACGCCTGATAGAGAGAAAGAGAGAACGAAACAGAAGAGAGAAGAGGAGAGAGGAGGGGTGACTCATGATGAGAGTGAGGAGCCGCGGCATGATTTGCTGAAGGCTCTGCAG